TCAGGCCATGAGTACCTCACCTAGTCCCTACCTGGCAGGGAAAGTCTTTACCCCAACTCTATAGAGGAAGAAAGAGCCTCAGAAAGATTACCAAAAATCACACAGCTAGGAAGTGAGGAAGTTTGGACTTGAACTGCCTGGTTCTGTTACTAAGTCGATGCTAGTAACCCCGTAAAGGGCCTATTACTACTATCTCATTACACCAGGAATTTTTTTTCTAGGCATAATACCCACCATCCCATTTAATTTTCTTAACGTTTCAAGTTGGAATTACTATCTTTATTTTACACATGAGCAGTTAGTTGGTGGAGGTGGCTGGCCTAGGAGACATTAAAGTGGTTTTCTGAGGGGTCTACTGCCAAGATAATGTAATTTTTCCCACTACAGTTATAACTCCCAACCTCTCTAAGGCAAAAATACACTAATCGATCACTTACTAAGAGCTAGAACAATGTCAAATGCTTTACCTACATTTTCTTTAATCTCCAAAACGACCCTGGGGTAATGTTTATCCATGTTACATATGAGGAAACTGAGGCTGACAGAGTAAATATGTCACACAGCCGAGAAAGTGGCAGAACCACTGGACACCACAGCATGACCTTTAACCAGCACGATTTATTCAACCCTTTATACATGCAGGTCTCGTACACTTTTCCTCTACTCGCAGTGTGGGAGAGAAGGGGAAACATCAGATTCAAACAGGCCCAAAGTACAATTCCAGGGGAATCACAGGTTGGCCCCCGCGACCCAAGCTCTGCTGGGGACGCTGGCATAGCTCACCAAGCGTCGCCAAACACAACAAGAGCTGGAAATGTAGGCGAAGGGATGGGAATGACCTTGTTTTTCCCACTCGGAACTGGACGGGTATTCGTGATTTTCAGTAAGAAGGAGCTTGGAGAAGCCTGAAGCTCAATTAGAGGGAGAAAGGTGCCAGTATCACAGGGACGAGCCTTGGACAGGGAATTAGGATACCTGGGATGGCGTCCCCGGCAGGTCGCTCCCCCTCTCTGGGACTCAGTTTCCCCCATGCCTCTCAAGGCATTTGGAAAGGATAGAGAGGGTCTAAGACTTCAAGATCCTCCTGACTGTAGCCAGAACAGCTGTCCGGCTTCACCTCTCAAGACAGTAGTGGCCACAAGCCAAGCCCCCGCCCCCGACCGTCACGGTGCCTGCAAGCCCGCCCCTGGGCCGGTCGGGGGGCACTTACAGCCCGGAGGGACGCCAAGCCCACCAATCTCCGCCGCAGCGACTCCCTCACTGTCGCCATCTTGGCTCAGATGCCCCAGCAGAAGCCAGGCTGAGTCACACGTGACCGCCCTCCGGCAGGGTGGGCATGACCCCGCCTTTGGGGCGGGCCTCTGGAGCGACGTGGTGACGTATTACGCTGGCTCCGCCCCAGCCTCTGCTTTTTTTTAGTTTATTTTTTTTTAATTCATTTTGTTCAGTTTTTCTTTACCCGTTTTTTTTTGTTTGTTTTTTTCTGAGAGCCATTTCAACGCCAGGCAAAGGATGGCGCTAGGACTATAAAGATGAACAAAAGTTAATCAAAGTTTCTGTCTTCGTGGGCTTAGCGTCGTGGGAGCTGTGGGAGGATAGATATTAATAATGTCCCCCAAAAAACAACCAGCCTGTAAAGTTTTTTGTTGTTTTTTTTTAACTAAAGTTTATTGGGGTGACAATTGTTAGCAAAGTTACATAGATTTCAGGTGTACTGTAAAGTCTTATAAGAGTTTATTTGAGCCAAATTTTGCGGACATGTCCGGAAGCAAAATCTCAACAGATTAAGAAAACGCTGTGGAGAATGGAAGTTTTGCAGCTTATTTTATGCACCAGGTCAAAACATAAGATGTAAGGAGGGTTACATGAAATCCATTTGTGATTAAGGAGGTGGGAGAAAGCAAAGCAGGGGAAATCTCTAGGATTGGATAAAAAGCAAAATGGAAAGACATAATTTTTTTTACATTGGTGGGTGTGGATAGATAATAATTAACTTTTACAGTACACAGAGATGGTATGCGGGCAATAAGAAAACAGTGAGGGGTTAAGATAACAATGAGGGGTTCTGTGGTCTCTCTGGTCTGGTGTTGTGGTCTGGTGCCAGTGGTTATGCTTTTGAAGGTCTGGAAAAGAAAATTACTCTGACATTTCAAAGGTATGTCATCTTAGATTCACAAAGACAATAGATAGGCTCACTTAAGGTAAAGATTGACCTTTGTCAAGGAAGCTACGGGTCTATGATGTGACTACCCACCATGGCCCACTTTAGTTAGAAATCTTTATGTTCAGACCATCCTGTGTGGTTACTTTTGGTCACCAAGTTTTTAAGGGGTGCCATGCATGCTCCCCCTGAACTTGTCAGGTTTAGTATGTGGCCCTTTTTGTGCTCACAACAACCATACAAACAGTGTGTAATTGTTACTTTTCATAATACTAGACGAAGCATTACTATTTGCAATGCACTGTTCTGAGCTTTTTGCACGTATTAACTCATTCATCATGATCTTCAGGATTCAAATGCAGGCAGTTGACTCCAGAGAGAGAAGCATCCTTTGATTTCATAACTTGTAGAATGAGTAAGATCTATTCAGGTAAACAGGATACAGAAACATTTTCCAGAAAGAGAGCATAGCATATGCAAAGGCCCAGAGGCAGAGAATTTGAAAGTTTAGAGCAGTATTTTTCAAAATACATGTTGTGCCCCATTAATTGGTCATTATATCAATTTAGTGGGTGCCAACTTTTTTTAAAAAAAGAAATAGAATAAAAATTTTCAGAATGTGTTGTATAAGTACGAGGCACTGCTTTGCAAAACTTTTGTTATTATATATGGTTTTTATTATGTTGAGGTAGTGTACCTCTGTTCTTTGTTCGTTGAGTGTTTTTATCATGAAACAGTTTTGAATTCCGTTAAGTGACTTTTTCAGCATCAATTGAGATGATCATGCCTACTGTATGGCTGGGAATGGGGAATGGATAGCTGGAATTGACCAAAAGTAATGATAATTTACCATCCAAGTCCTCTTTTGGAAGTTGCAAGCCTTTGGTAGCCTCTACAGTTCCAAAATAATTACAGCAGATTCCACCAGTGCAATTGTTGTCCAACTGAGGAGACAGATTCCTGGTGCTTCATCTCTACCACCTTCCCAGAATCCTCTCTAAAGGCTTTTTTTGTTCAAAGCTACATTTCACAAGTTTCAATACGTAGTATACTTTCATAATCATTCTAAGTATTTTCTAATTGCCCTTATGGTGACCTCCTTGATCATTGAGTTAATTATTTAAAAGTGTGTTTTTGGGGCCAGCTGAGTGGCTCAGTTGGTTAAGAGCTCACTCAAGAGTTTGAGCTCTGAGCAACAGTGGTTCGAGTCCCGGCCCGAGCTGAGCAGCTGCTGAGCTGCCAACACAGGTTGGCAGGATGGCTCAGCTAAAAAAAAAAAAGTGTGTTTTTAAATTCCCAAACATATGGGTTTTTTCCTTCAAGTTTTTATGGTTCTTTAAGTATGTTGCTGGCATACTATATAGGCTATATCAGGGGTCGGCAAACTGCAGCTCGCGAGCCACATGTGGCTCTTTGGGTATGCTCTGTTTCAAAAGTTTGCTGACTCCTGGAAGAGCCAATCTTGACTCTCACAACAATTTAAAATTTATTCGAGGGCCATAAATATATTTTTACATAATCACCATTATGTGAATAATATCCTGTATAAATTTTATTTTATTTTACTTATTTTTTTTTAAAGATTTTATTGGTGAATTGGGGGAGGGGAACAGCGTTGGGGAATCGGGGAAGGGGAACAGACAAGTTGCTGTTCTGTTCTTCAGTCTAGCTGTGGAGGATGTCGCTTCACTGGCCCATGTTGGTATTATCATTGCGCTCTTCCCAGAAGAGGCAATCGGTCGCCAGCCATTGGACGGCCACTCACGGTGGCTCACGGCAGCTCATGCCAGCTACCGGCCACTAACACTGACTGCCAGCTACTTACGGTAGCTCACGGCAGCCTACTGCAGCCCTGCTGCAGCCTACGCCGTCACCAGCGACTCATGCAGCCCAGCTCCATCCAGGTCGAGCTGTTGTTCACCATCTTAGCTGTAGAGGGCGCAGCACCACTGGCCCATATGGGATCCAAACCATGGCCCTGCTGCTCAGAGCCGGCATTCCTAAGACAACTCTTAACCAACGTGCCACACGGTCGGCCCTCCTGTAAAATTTTATAAATGAAACTATGATAGTTTTATTTTCATTTTCAATTTTACTTCAGAGCCACAGTTCGCGAGCCGTCATTTGCTGACCCCTGGAGGTTCTTCCGTCTCAAAAGTTTGCCACCCCTGGTGACAGGGCCTGGGCACGTTCAGTTACACGAGTGGAAGCCCGAAACACGAGACCCCAGGTATGTCCAAATATGTGCAGACTGGAGTACGAGTCTTGACCCTGGAGCCTACTGCGCAGGTGCGTCGGCTCCAGTTACATAAGCCCTTATGTAAGCATGATTTGCACTTGCGGGAGGGAGCATGTGCACTGTCCTGCGCGCTCTTCCCCCAAACCATTATATAAGGTTGCTATTGCTGATTAAAGACACTGGTTCCTCCTCCTGTCAGCTCTGCGTGCCTTTTTTGGGCTGGGCATCTCACCACCGAAACCTCCCCTGCAACCCCCCAGCGACGACACCTGGACGCTATGTGATACTGCTTCTTTGGTATTTATATTTGTAAATGTTCCATATGTGTTTGAGAAAAACAAATAGTCCTTAAATGTTGAGTAGAGATTTCTAAATGTATCTATTAAATAAAAAAATAAATAGAAAACTTGATTAGATCTATCACAATTAAAGAGCCTGAACTGATAGTCAATTCAAAAGAATGGTACTAGAAGGAGCAGAAAAACCAAAGGAATTGCATTTTTTGTCCTGCATAAAGACTTGGCAGGCCCTTTTAAAAAACAGAAACATGAAGTTATGTGAAGTCCATATAGAAACTGGGAGAAGAAAGCTACAACATGCTTCTTGGTAGAAATGATTAAACATACAAATTTATTTGACTATTTTAAAAAGCAGGGCAGAATTATATCCATTTTCTTCACAGTATAACTCTACACAGACTGAATTTCAGAGTTTACTTTGGAAACTTCTGACGAGCTATTAGCAGCCCCGAAAGCCTTTTCCTTCCCCTCCAGGCTGTCCTGCTGTTTGGGGGGTGTTGGTGACAACTGATCCTAATAAACAGCATGTGGTTGAGCTTGCCAAACCCTTTATACCTCCTCCCACAGGCAACAAGGAGACATGGCTTATTCTTTATCTGCAGTCATTAAGCAAGCAGGTTATCATAGAGAATGGAGGGAAGGTTCCATTGTAGATAATTTCCATTGTTAGGAATGGATGAGCGGTCAGAACTTAACTGTTCAGTCCCTTCTTTTGCTGATCAGAGAGAGAGAGATGCTAGCAATGGATCTTAGCTCTTTGATCTGCTGACACATCAGAGTAATGCACTCAGTTCCTTTGATTAAAATGTGTTGGAAAAGCCATCTCTGGGTAGAAAAGAGTAGTTTATTACAATGATGGTACTGTAAGAAGAAAATCAAAGCAGCACATAGCAGGCAGTGTCTCTTTCCTCTTGAACGCCAATGATCACTCCACTCCTGTCATCTTTACAGTCCAAGCAAACTCAACTGGGAGAGCAGAGGGTGGTAACTGGGGCAGGTAAATGAGGAGACCCTTTTGTGGATTTGTGGACCACTTCAGATCTTTTTGGATTCCCAGCATCGTTATCTGCAGAAAGCAAAAGGGAAAAGAAAAAACATGAATGCATTCACGAGTACAGAATGTGGCCTGAACACGGTGGGAAACGTCCATGCTGGGCCAGGGCAGGGAAGAGGGTCTGAAAGGGGAATAAATATGGGAGAAACCTGGGGAAGGAAGGAAGATATGCCAGTTCCTTTAGAAAAACTTATATCTCTAAAAGGATTGACTGAGGTTCCTTACCTGTGCAGTAGAGGTAGCATTGGGGGATATAAGGTTTAAGACTCCATTTTCTGGCCAGTGTAGGAAAATGGCATAAACAACTGATCCTTTTGAGGTATACCTGGGAAAAAAGAAACGTCATTGTCAAAGGTACCTGTCTTGTTACCGTGTTGCATAACCTTATACATTTCCCTTTCTATTATCTAGCAATCCCAAGACCTTGAGTCTGTCACGGCTACTAGGAAGCACTAATAACTCAATAGCAGTTGAGGTCTGTGGGAAGAAAATAGCCTCTTTCTGGTGATATCTTCCATTTTCCCTCTCTATTGGGGTTCTAAGTTTTCTTTTAAAAAATTTAACTCTCATACTAGTTATGGCTCACTGAAGTCATGCGTCTTACTATTAAATTTTTTTTCAACTCTAAATCCAGGTGAAAACACCAGAGAATAAAACAATGGCAAGAGGTGTAATGAAGACAAATTTGTTATTCTGAGACCTCACCATGCTTAGAGAAGAGGATGAAAATCACTAAACAGAAACTCATCTGAAAAAGAGGTGAATGTGTTTCCCTCGATCCAGGGACCCATGCTTGATGGTATAACACTAGCAGAGATGTTTTATTGAACATGTAGTATGTGCCTAGCATTCTGCTGGGAGCTTTACATAAATTATCTCATTTAACCCGCACAATAATTTTAGGAAGTTAAGTATCATCATCCCATTTTACATTGAAAACACTGAGGCCCAAGATCAAATAACTAGATCCACAATTTTAAGCATGAATCATGACTTTCCTACGTACTAGCTTTGTGATCCAAGGCAAGTTATATTACTGCCCTGGGCCCCTTTTCTCACTTGTAACATGGGAATAATAACAGTATCTATTTGGTGGGCTTGCTAGGGGATTAAATGAGTGAAAAGACTTTAGAATGGAGCCTTGTACATTGTGGGTGCTATACAAGTATTAGCTATTACTATTTTTAGGAGGCAAGGGAACAGTGTCAAGTAAATTGACTGATGCTTTGTAGCTCCTTCTTTTTTGCACCAAGCCTCATGAGTCAGAGATACCCTGGTGCCTAAGACATAAACTGGAGTACAAATTTAATAGGGAAAGAACAGCTTTGGGGTTCCCTCAAGACGACGTCCAACTTGGCTTCTAACATTGTGGACCCAAGCAGATACCAGTTCAGGATGGGCCACAGTGCCATTCCTGCCCACAACAAAAGGCATGACTCACCATACAGATGTATTCTTTTCCAATTGTACCCTCCATGGTTTAGAGGCATAGATTGCCTCCCCATTGATGCTCAGCCACTTCCCGACAGCAAGTAGCCTTTCTTGGAAGATGGGAACAATCAGCCCATCTTTGGTTGGCCCGATGTTGAGAAGATAGTTTCCTCCCAAACTTACTGTCTGAACCAGTTCCTGGTGAGAGCAGAACAATAAAATCCTAGTTATGAATGCCCAGCCTGGCATAATGCCTAGGACACATAGGTATTTAGAGAAGACGATGACTCTAGAGCACATTCTCTCCCTGCTTTGTGAATATCCTTTACCCTTTTGAAAACACTATGTATCTTTGTCATTGTAAAAGCAGGGCCGGCTTAGATGAGAAAACTGAAAAATCCTGCTACAAGGTGGAGAAATATATTAATTCAAATTCCAGGGAGTAATCGTGGGCACTTCCCTGTGAGACGGTGCAGGAGGCCGTGGGAAGGGTCATGTGTCAGAAGCACAAAGTATGAGCAGGAAAGCTGAGTACAGAGCACTTGGCCATGAAGGGACCACATGGAACCTTACAGAGAGAATATGAGGATCAGAGAGAAGAGATTTTGAGGGGGTGCTGTGGAGACTTTGGGGAGATGGAAGAGAACTGAAGAATTTTGGGACACTTAGCTATATAAATGTATATGCTGCCCCTTTGGGAAAACATGCCGTAAAGATATACAATAGCCCCCCTACCCCCACCCCACCCCTTATCTGAGATTTTGCTTTCCCACGGTCAACCGCGGTCCAAAAATATTAAATGGAAAATTCTAGGAATAAACGATTTATAAGTTTTTAAATTGTTGTTCGGAGTACCTCACTTCATCTCATCATGAAAGCATTGTATTTACCTCATATCATCACAAGAAGGGTTAGTACAGTACAATAAGATATTTTGAGAGAGAAACCACATTCACATAACTTTTATTACAGTATATTGTTATAAATGTTCTATTGTATTATTAGATAGTGTTATCAATCTCTTACTGTGGCTAATTGATAAGTTAAACTTTATCAGTAGGTATGTAGGTATTGGAAAAATGTAGTATATATATATAGGGCTGGGTGCTATCTGCAGTTTCAGGCTCCCACTGGGGGTCTTGGAGTGTATTCTTTGCGAATAAGGGGGGACTCACATATATTCTTCAAGGTTTCTGGAGTGTGTGAGTGTGTGTGTGTGTGTGTGTGTGTGTGTGTGTATGTGTGTGTATGTGTGTGTGTGTGTGTTTACTGTGACCTCAAACATGTGTACTTTAAGGCAGCCCCCAAAAATTAAGGTTATATACAGAAATTCTTAAAAAGGAGAATTTGTTACAGTACCCCAAAGGCACAACACCATTAACTTTTTGTTTCCCTTTGGTCTTTTTCCTATGTCATTAATTTTATATAGTTATGATAATACGTAACTTATTTTTTCACTCAACTCTCTAAGCATTAACCCATATTACCTTGGTAAACATTTTAATAGTTAAGGACAATCTCCAAATTTACTTAACTATCCCCTCATGGTTGCAAGAAATTGAAACAACTCATATGTTCGGCTGAAAATAATCCTGGGAAGAAGGTCTCTGTATGTAAAACTTTCTTCTGTAATTATAATTATTCCCTCAGGACAGGTTTCTCTGAATATGTTCAATAGCCCTGAAGGATTCTATCAACCTGCAATTCCACCCAGAGTGTTTCCACCATGCTCAGTTAGAAGGCTAGTTTGAGGCAGTAGTTCACAAATAACTGACTCACAGGTGTCTTACCGAAATGATTTCGGCTTCATCTGCAACGTCGGATATCACCATGTTGCGACGGTAACCCCAGGAGCGCTTGTCTATGGTGCTGCACATCTCCCACTTGTGATCTGGCAAGCTCGAAGGCTTGAATTTATCTTCGCAGTTGTAGTATCCTCCATGTCGGCAGGAGCAGTTCATACCCCATCGGTCATTTACTACCACCTCATCCTACAGGAGGAAAGAGTCCTGCCCTCTGATCTTACCCGATGATCTGCCATTCAGCAGGCAGAGGCCAGGGATGCTGTTAAACTTCTTACAACATACAGGACAGCCTCATCACAACAAAGCAATAGCCAGCCCCAAATGTCAACAGCGCCAAGGCTGAGAAACCCTGGTCTATCGATATGTCACCTTCGAGTTGGAAGAGCCCACTTTACAGATCACCTTGTAAACCACTTATCCTATTAGAGGAGAAGTAGAGAGAAGTCTTGCCCGAGGTAATATCCCCAGGTAGTTGGGACTATGAATCAGGTAGTTGAACCCAGCCCGGGACACTTTCCACTACATGACCTGGGTAAAGGAAGTCAGCAATCAAATGCTCTTTTCCCTCCTTCAACATTTAGCTGAACTATGAGAAACCATTACGTGGGATATCTAAATGTAAATGTTTGCTACTACGATGAGGCTCCTGCTGAGGTGAATAAAACTCAGTTCCTGCCTTCAGACATCCAGCCGAGACTAGCTGAGAAGACAGATATGTGGACAATTATGACATCACATCAGAGTTAATTACCTAGGGATTAACGTAAATGGGGAACACTGATCCAGGAACACTGTTTCTTATTTCTGCCAGGAAAGAATATAAATTGTCAGGAGCCAGGGCTGGCCGAGTGGCGCGATGGTTAAGAGCTGGCTTGGGACACCAGAGGGCCCTGGTTTGGATCCCACATGTGAGGGCCAGTGACACTGCCCTCTACAGCTAGGATGCTGAACAACAGCTCAACCTGGAACTTGGCTGCTGTGAGTCGCCGCGACGGCACAGGCTGCACCCCTTGCTACAGTGGGCTGCCACAAGCTACCATGTGTGGCTGGCAGCCAGCGTGAGCAGCTTCACCCGGGAAGAGCGCAATGATAATACCAACATGGGCCAGTGAAGCAACGTCCTCCACAACTAGACTGAAGAACAAAAGGACAGCTTATCTGTTCTCCTTCCCCCGATTCCCCAGCGCTGTTCCCCTCCCCCAATTCCCCAATAAAATCTTTAAAAAAAAAAATTTACCTTATACTCTATGAAAGCAGAGTTCATATCAATGTTGTTCTTTCCCACAGACCAGGTGTTTTACACCTTCTATTTGAAAACACATAGAAGACACTCAAAAAATACTTGTTAGAGCCAGACAAGTGGCTCGTTGGTTAAGAGTTGGCTTGGTAGTGTGAGCTCTGAGCAGCAGGGCTGCCGGTTCGGATCCCACATGGGCCAGTGATGCTGCACCCTCTACAGCTAAGATGGTGAAC